GAACAACGGGGTGATTCCATAGTTGTCTGATATGTTGGAGCTTGAAAACCTGGATACTTTTGGAAATTGAAAACACTATTGGTGTGTTTCAGCATTTGGAGGTAGGCACCTATTTAAATCGCTGGTGAAGATAAAAAAGTCCAAGTTCACAGGACACTGAGAGACAGCCTTTGCCTCACATTGAATAGTAATCTTTATTACTTGCTCCCAACTATCACAGGGTGGGTCGCAGGCAGAGTCAGTGCCACTGTTAGGTGTTTCTTAGGCGTAGGACCAGTGTTGAGACTGCTGAGCATTTTGGTAGCAGGAAGGGGCTCCATATTTGCTTACATGTGACAAAGTATGACGTTTAGTGGTAATTTACAACTGTGAGAATATTTACTCTGTGATCATATTCTGTTCCAAGTCTTTCCAGAGATATGGATCCTAAACTGAAAGGGATTATTATTTACCTTAACAGATATGCTCACTCAGTTGTCATTGATTAACCTCAAGATCTGGAAGAAGGAACTTTGAGGCTTTCTGCCACGCTGAGTCTGATACTATTTCTAGACTCAAATGCATAAAACAAAGAGAGAAGTGAGAAGGCAGGAAGATTGGAGTGGGTATTGCTACACTTCTTAGATATACCATGTAGATTCATTTAAGAAGAATTAACAACAAGCAAGAATTTATATTCCTCAGAGTTTAAGTTGAGCTGTTTGTATGGGTACAAGGGTAGTGCTGTGTGCTAAAAAGCAGAGTAGGAGAATTGAATATTTTGAATGTTTACACATCAGACTGTAAGTACATCAGTGCTAGACACAAAATATCTGTATAAGACAATGTTAGAGCAAACAGTTTAGTGGTTAATTTGGAAAGGATTTGTTTGTCTCGAAGTGGCATTCACATAGCAAGCACACTCTTTCTGCAAAAGTCCAATAAACCCAGTAAATAATGCTTATATACTAGTGTAGGTGGAGATGAATGGGTGTTTTCCTCTGAGTGAAAAACAACAGAAAGAGGTGGAGGATGGAGTAGTAATGCCTAAACTTCATTGAGAAATTGTTATGCATTCAAATACAGATCAAGTACGTTTTATGTATTGTTTTCATTAAATCCCTACACTAATTCTTTGATAGTAGTTATTCTTTTCATTTTACAGATAAGGAGATACAAGTCTGCCTTTCCAAAGATCATAGAGGTGCCAAGTAGAGCACCAGTATTTGATCTCTGGTGTCCCTGGGTCCTAAGTTTCAAAAATGAGTTTTCTCAGAGTATATTGAGCTGAAAATCTTTGCACAGTAAAGCAAACAGAATGAAGAGGCAATCTACAGAATGGGAGTGTTTACTAACTATATCTGATAAGGGGTTGATATCTAAAGGGAGTAAAAAAAAAAGCAAACAAAACAGAAAACCCTTGAAAAACTATGAAAAATGAGCAGAAGATCTGGATAATATTTCTCTAAAGGTCTGGGAATGGTCAATAGACACATGAAAAATGCTCAACATCACTAATCATCAGGGAAATGCACAAAACCACAAAGAAAGACCATCTCACCCCAGGTAGAAAAGCTATTCTCACAAGGACTAGAGATAAGTGCCTACAAGGAAGCAGTGTAAAGGCACCCTTGCACACTGTGGCAGAAGTGCAAATTAGTACAGCCATTATGGAAAACAGTGTGGAGCTTCCTCAAAAATTTAGAATTACCATATGATCCAGCAATTCTGCTATTGGGTATATGTTCGAAATAAACAAAATCAGTATGCTGAAGAGCTATCTGAATTCCGATGTTTATAGCAGCACTATTCATGGTAGCCAACAGATAAAATAAATCAAAGTGTTCATTAGTGGATGAAAAGATAAAGAAGACATGTATATATAGAAAATGGAATACTTGCCAGCTATCAAAAGAATGGAATCCTGTGATTTGTGATGACATGGATGAACCTAGAGGGCATTATATTAAAAGAAATAAGCCAGGCACAGAAAGACAAATATTACAGAGTCTCATTTATACGTTGAAGGTAAAAGTTGATTTCATAAAAGTTGAGAATAGAATAGTAGTTACCAAAGACTACATTTAGTATGAGGTTATGGACAACGGAGAAACTTTGGTCAGTGGTGAAATGTGACACTGAGATAGGAAGAAATAAGAAGAAATAGAATAAATGTTCTATTGCAAGGTAGATTAATTACAGTCAGCAATAATGTATATTTCCCAGTAGCCAGAAGAGAATATTTTCAATGTTCTCTCCATAAAAATATAAAAAGCTAAAGGTTTGAAGTGCAGGATATGGCACTTTCCCTGATTTGATCATTACACATACATATATGTGTCAAAATATCTTATTATGCCCCACAAATGTATACAACTATTATGCGTGAATCAAAAATGAAAACAATTCTTTTTCTCATGGAATAAGAATGAATATGACATGGTGAATCATTGCAGCCATTTTAATTAATAACTTTAAAAGCTCTAAATGGTCCTCGTCATATTAATCTCATGTATCTGTTTGGAATATTAGGATTTATATCAGCTCAGAAAAATTACTTGTGTCTTTTACATAGACTCTATCTTATTATACTGTATTTTCCTATCATCCTCATAAAGCCTCACAGGAAGAGATATGAAGAGAAAAACTTTAGATAAAAAATCTTGATAATGCTCTTGTATTTTTATTTCTCATGTCCTTGCCTCAAAGCCTCACTGCTTAGCCACTGGACAGGGAATGAGATAAAGGTAATGGAAATAGCCTAGGCTACTTTTATATACTCTTTAATGAAGGGCCTTTGGTGAGAGTAGATTTCTTATAATTGGACCTGAAGGATTCAAGGCGAGTTTCTACCAAGGGGAAAATGATTGGGCATTTGGGGCCTTAATAGTGACACATATTACGCATTTGGGAACAAGTTAAAGTCTAAAATCAACTATCTGCTAGGGGATATACTAAGGCCAAACACATTCTTTTCTAGGACTAGAAGGATGCTACCATATTAAGAATTCTATACCATATATTATTACATCAGCACGATCAAAGAGAACAATTGTACATTATCAGTAATTACTAAATTAAGCAAGTCACTTGCTTAATTCAGCAACCAATCTAAGTAGGTAGATAGCTAGGTAAAAATTCTGACCATCAATCTAGAGAACTACATGTTTACCACAGGAGCGGGAAGGATACTCTTAAGAAAGAATATATAAAAGAAGATAAATAACTGGTTACTCATAAAAATTTCTATGAAAATAATTTTGTAAAACATTTCTATGAAAAAATCTAAACAGTCTAAAAATTTGATTTGAAAGCATATTGCATTTTAGAAGGCAGAGGTTTAATACAGTGAACTATTTAACAATGAAAACCAGGAGCTAATTTGACAGCAAAGTAGATCAAAGATGTGGAGAAGCCATTCACAAAACAAAAATCCAGCAACTGTAGAATCTATACTAAGATGCTCCAGCTTGCTGGAAGATGAAGAAATCCAGTGAGATTAACAGTTTTCTGATGGAACCAAGTTAAAACAAGGCACAATAAAGTGACACCTGCTAGTGTTGGCTGGGATATGACCAGAGAAACACTGCCACATATTGCTAGTAGAAATATAAATTTCAGAGAATTTTAAAATTTAAGGAATTTTAGAATTTAAGGAATTTAAGGAATTTTCCATTCCTTAGCAATATCTATTAAAATTAAATATACATATATGTTTATATTTTGATTCTGGACTTCATCATGAAAATTAATCCTATAAAAATAAAATCACTACTAAATAAACATGCATGCTTCTTTTAGCATTATTTGTAATTGGAAAAACTGGGGAACAAAGTAATGTAAATCAACAGAAGAATAATATTGCCCATCAATATCACAGAATATTATATATTAGAAGTATGGTAATTGATTTAGAGGGATTTCCATGAATTCTTCATAAGTGAAGAAAACAAAATATAAATAATAATATAATTCATGTAAGAAAAAGCATTATCAATATTATTTATTGACCACTTAGTTATCTGTAAGACGGTAAGACACTCTCGTAGGGATTAGCAGAGTGAGAGGAAGAAGCAAATAATCCGTGTTTAAAAGATACAACACGTACATAATAAAAAGCAAACAGCAGTGTAATGGGTCACAGAGCTCCTTACAAAAGGAATGATTTAGCTAGGGAGGTAGTTCAGCGGTACTGCGCCTGCCTGGCATGGTCAATGCGTAAGCGACTGCGTCCTCTCCGTATCCTGACCTCAGATCTCTTGTCGTCAGCCACCTCAGGCTTCTCAGGGCGGCTCATGAAAACCAACAGTCTCTGCAGACCTCTCCATACCACCACACTGGGAGAGTTTGTTCCGTGAGGCTCCTCACCTACGCACTGCACTCGGCTATTGCTCCAGCACTGTATTGGCCACATGGCTCTTTGTAAGAGGTTTAGCGTTCCTTCCAATGACGTGAGTCCCTACTCCTATTTTCTGAATAATTAATGTGCTTTCTCTCATTGAGGTTTCTCTTTCCAGTCCCCATGGCAGGATTCAAGGGGATAAGGGCCCTGGCCCTTCCCCAAGAGCCCATCGATGTCTGCCTTTTGTTCTTCCACCAATCTGCTAGTTTAGTTCTCATTTCCTTTAAGTTGGAAAAGGCTTTCATGTCGTCACACAATCTTCCTCACCATATGGCTCCATGTGCTTAGTTCTTCAGATTCTGGTTTCTTGGATTCCCAAAATGACATTCATTCTTCTGAACAAAGAAGTACTCTTCCAAGCAGAAAACTTACTTTTGAAAATAGGATTTTGCTTTGTGTTTTAAAACCTTCTTTACAAAGTGCAGTTTTTAGGGGTTTTTTTTTTTGGTTCTTGGATTTTTTTCTTTTTGAGAGAAGAGAAAATATGAAATGTTGCAAAATTAGTCACCTCATTTCAAATAGCTATGTTTATTAAAGAGCTCTATGATCTTCATTTTTTGCAGATTATTAAAGTGGGAAATGATTATTTAAAAATCTCAAGAATAGAATATTTATTAGCTACTTGTACTTTTTTTTCTTGTTTCAAAATTGATAAGCATTGGCAATGAGGCAGTTTATTTTGAGTTGACCTTTAGGAAGCCATTCCTGTCGCCTGAATAGCACAATCAGGAGCTCAGAACAGTGGCACCTAGGATACACACTTTTAATATCTCAAAACGATATCCAGCCGCATCCCCACCCACCTCATGTGTATAGGTAGATGCATATATAAAATGGTCACAGTCTCTAGGTTCCTTGAATGCAACCTTAGCAATTTCTAGGAATTCTCCTTGGCCACTACATATGTGCTCATGGATACATCACTGCAGGGTAGAATTCCGTATTCTCATTCCCTCCTCCACTCAACCCACCCCACCCTTTGCAGAGATGTCAGCTGCTGTCACTCTGCAGCTCAGGAGCTGGTGAAGGTGTCTTATTGCTACTGTTACCACCAGTGCTCTCTGACCCATGCTGTGGTGATTGCTCATGAACCTAAGTCACCTTGCTGAAGAAAGAAACCCTTCCCCTGCCCTTCCCACCTCAGTTACCTTGAACCCAGAGCACTCATGCCCTATGCTACCAGCGTCCCAGGACCTAAAAGGAAATGGAGAATCAAAGCAAATAACAAGAAGTACCTTGCAGTACCTAACATTATCCACCCCTCCAAACTACTATAACCTTATTGAACCATGACCAAACACTCAGTCCATTCTTCTTTTAGGGGTCTTGGTCCCTCCCCCCAAAAGTTTATTGGTCTTTTGCAAAGAGGTCCTTTGAGGATTTGTTCTGCTGGTTTTCTGGACATACCTGTTTCTGAAATCCATTGGTGCACAAGACTTAGGTTAAGTCTTGTACCTTTCATAGATGCTAGAATCAAATATAACTACTTAAATAGATCCTTGTTTATAATCTATAATTGCATTTTTCTTTAATATTACTTGTAATCATCTTCTAGAGATAGGAACATAATACTATGTTAGGTAGTGCTTTCATTTTTTTAAACTAAATTATTTTGAATGGTATTATGATTTCAATTTTTTCTTTTTGTTTCTGGATTAGGAAGTAGAGACTTAGAAATCTCAACTAATATCCCTTAACATGAATCTAGACAAATAGAACTTAATAACTAACCTGTGACCTACATGTGTATTTTTATTTTGTGAACACAATCTGTTCTCTTTCCATGTTGTTGTTTTTTTACATGATTGACTTTGAAGTATTCACAGCAAGTAGCCAATAGTGTAGAAACTATAATATATAACCTTGACTTGGTCAGGGAATTTGCATGATAAATAATATAATAGACAAGTGAATATGAAAATCTCTAGTTGGTTTTTAAAAAGCAGCAGAGAGGAAAGTATTTTTTAAACCTTTGAGAAAAAACTAATATCCAATTTCTGAAAATACAGTCTATAAAATATACATTAGCATAGCATCTATTTTATTTGTGCTTGCATCCACAAGTTGAATCTATTTCTTTAAATTATTGAAATGTGAAAAAATTATGTAACTTCTAATTATTTCTTAGTTGTCTACAGTGGAAATCCCTTTCTACCATATATTTCAATTTAGAAACCTGA